GTTTAACAAAGTGTAGAACTGGGATTTTTTTAAATTAAATGTTTCAGGAACAGCACTCGTGTTTCTGACATATTTGTTAAGTTAAATAAATAGCCTAAAGTACTGATCAAAGAGATCATATAATGTGAATTTTCAAGTCTTTGTTTAATTAGTCTATTTTATTTAGTACCGTAAGCGAAACAGTATGCCATATATGACCTTAGAATCCTACTCCACTCTTCCCTGCAAGAATCAGTTAATCTTTTTATTTTCCAATAGGACAGTGCATGTGAGGGGACGTTTTGTCGTGCTGTTTTCTTTACTCATTAACTAAAATGTTTACTATGTCTAAAAATAGACATTTTTACCTATAAAATGTACCTCTCCTAAAACCATTAGTCCCTATCTAACCAATATATTTGTCAGCTACACCCAAATCCAGCCTTATCTGAGAATCAAAGTTCAAGCCAGTGTAACTCCTAACCCTGATGTGATTATGTTGGTTCTGACAGAAAGGTATCAAATTAAAACAACTTATTACAGATCACAATGATCTGTTGTTAACCTCTTGGGGCTAAAAATTGTAGCACACCTTCAGGGGTCTAGTGGACCAGGTCGTTTTGGCATATAGTATCAACACACCATAAAGTATACTATCTATACTATCTTAATTTTATACCTAGTACTTGTATGTGCTGAGGCAATTTGGAAAAATATATATTAAAAGGCAAACAGAATTCAGTTTGGGGAAAAAAGCGGTTGCAAAGCAGATATCTAAATATTTAAAATAAATGACTGCTGTGCTGTATGTTACATTTGTAAAACAAGAAGGTATTGGAGTTCAAAATCTGGCTGGTTGTGATTGGGATTTTTCTGTTTTATTTGTGCCCTTTATTGTTGTAATTGTTCAGAAGTGAATAACTAAATGTGAAAATTTGCATTTTCCAACTTATAAATACCTGTAAGGAGTCTAGAATTTACCAGCCACTGTCTCCTACAGTGAGCTTAAACATGACCTTCTTTGACCCCACAGTAAATGTTTATTGATTAACCAAAAAATAAATAAATAAATGGAAGTAACTGCCTAAGTACTTGATGGGTAAAACTTGTCTTGCTATCAACACCCTTCCTCCCACTTTCAACACTGGCACCCAATCAATGACAAATTTATTCAGATGACTGTGATTCTGCCCCCACATGGGGGATGGTGGAGTGGCGAGATGAAAGGAAGTGAAATGAGCCACAGGTCACATGTGAATTGCCTCCCACTGGTGTGATGCTTTGTAAAGAAGGGGGATGTTTGCTTGTGGGCAGGAAAGGATGTGGGGAGGAGGGGTCCTGAGAAAGGTTTAGCTTGTTCCACCTGCGTTTACATGAACAAATTGTCCCTTTATCTTAAACTGTTTTACTGTTTTTGACCTGCCAGTGAAGTTTTAGCCTTGGAAAAAAGGTTTTCCCCAAGCATTTAAAATGAAATAAACTATTATAAAAGATTTACTAACAATAAGAAGAATAATATTTAAGTCCTTGTCTACATATTTGCTTAATATATGAAAATGAAATAGCAATCTGATTATAAGTTTCAAAACTGTCCCAAAATGGGACAAAAGACATTCATAGCGACTAATCTAATGGATCATTTTTTTATTTATTTTTTGCAGTTTTTTTAACAACATTTCCAATTTTGCCACTTCAGCTCTGAGCACAAAGGTCATGTCAACAGATTCAGAGGACAGATACACTGATGTATAGCTGGTCTGGCCAGTTTTCTATGGTGGCAGGATCTTGCAGTAGCTTCTCTAGCAAAAATCTCATGTTACTGGTGTCTCATTTCACCAGCTCAGGGCAGCAGCCGAAACTCACTGTCCTTGGTGTGTGTCCTTTCTTCTCTTCATCTTTGTTTAGCCATTGCTCAATAATCTTTTGCAATCTAACGTATATATGTTTTTGTCCCTCTCTACCTTGTTCTGACCTTCCCACGCTGTCTGTAGTTGACACCTTTCTATCTCTATTTAGCATCACATTTTCACAATGCTGAGTTACCACAAATCCAAAGAAAGATTACCTTACTTTTCTTTTTTTACAATAGTTGTCCATGCAAATAATGTAAGTATGTAGTTTGATTTTGCTATGGCTTCATAACTGTTATAAAATTATACTCAGTTTTCTTCTGTCGTTTGCCCATTGAGGGCGTCCCATTTAACAAAACAACATTTTTGAATAAAAACTGATCCAACATAGGGCACCTTTCAAAAATACTTGCTTATTCTAAAATTTGAAAACACTAGACAATTCAGGAGTAGTTGTAGGGAAATGTAATAGTGGTTATGTTAAAAATGATAATCTAACGCAGGTCTGCCCAAAGTTGGCCCTCAAGGGTCCCTGTACTGCAGGTTTAAAAGGTGTCCCTGCTTCAGTACAGCAGATTCTAATGATTGCATTTCAGCAACGGCCTGTTAACCAGCAATCAACAGAAATACTTTGTGCTGAAGCAGGAAAACCTCTAAAGCCTTCAGGACTGCAGCCCTTCAGGGCTTGCCGGGTTGCGGCAGACCTGCACTAACGATTTTTAGCATCTTACATGGAATTTTTTTATCTATTATCTGAACATGTTAAGAAGTTGGCACAGGTAGGGTTTTTCTTGTTTGTACTTATTTAGCCAAGAGCAGAGCTTGGCGGAGCAAGTACACCGACTATTTTGCAGGATTCCCCACTTGCAATTAATAGAAGTCTTTCATTTTGTTCGGTAATCTTTAGCTATGAGTGAAGAATCACAAAATTCAGAAAATTATTCTAAAAAAGTAAAAAAAAACAAAAAAAACATTGGACTTTGTTTTCAAAGTTTGAAGATGTTTCGCTTCCCATCCAGAAAACTTTCTCAATTCAAAATATCTCGAGTATCGTTGAGTTCCAGGCTTATAAAATTGCCTAAACAAAAGCCTTGTTATGGCTTAAAAAAAATGGTCCACCCCTTAGTTATGGTGAGTTATTGAGATCGTTGATAGCCTGCAAAACCCAATGCTGGCCCATGGCTCTGAAAAGGGAATCATTAGGGTCGTTGTTGGCCTGGCTAAAAAGGCAAGATGTTTTAGTCCTCTGCATGGTGATGAAGATTGAGATGATAGCAGGAAGGAATCAACTCTATCGGTGCTTTGTAGTTTTTTAAGAGTTGAAGTCCACCCCCTATGTTTAAGGTTAGTTTTCTCTCTCAACATAAATGGCTTCTTTCACACCCCTTTCAAACCACCTGTCTTCTTTGTCTAAAATGTGAACATTCTGGTCCTCAAACGAGTGTCCTTTGTCTTTAGTGTAGGTCGACAGTAGAGTCTTGTCCGGAGACCTAAAGAATTAATAGTGTACTGTTTACGTGTCCATGTGATTAAGCCAGCACATATCAAGGCCTGTCTGCATTTGCCAATGACAATCTGGATTATCTAGAAGAAGAATGGGAGGTTATGTGATCCAATGACACAGACATTAAAGTTTTTGGTCTTAACTCCACTCGTGTTTGAAGGAAGAAGGATGGAAAAGGAATAGGAGCTTTTTGTATAATCCCTAGAGCAGCAAGTGAAACCGCTGGGCAGAGAGGTAGAAACATCATTCTTTGGAGATGGTTTTCTGCATATAGGGCAGTATCAGGATATATAAGCGAAAGACCTCTTTCCTTCAGTAAGGACAGTAAGGATGGGTAATAACTGTGCAAATTAATTACTTGAAAATCACACAATGTAATTTTCCAGATATTTGAGAGATTCTGTCACTCACAGTTGAAGAGTACCAATGATAAAAATTAAACAACTCTACACTGCAAGTGGGAAAACCTGCATAATAAATTGTATCCGATACTTACTCTCCACATTGTACAAGCCCATTAATTTTTATCTAAAAGAACAACCAGAGCATAGATAATTTTTTTGCGGAATTGTAAACAAAAAAAGGTCCTATGGTGACAGTAATATTCGGTTAAATTTAAAAGAGGATCAAAAAAGCTCAGAAGGACTAACATTAGTAGAAATGAGTGTAATTGACTTACCCTTAGACAACTTTTATTGTCATTATGTATACACAGAGTGTATACATACGTAAAAAGTTCAAGTGTGTTGGCAAGTTGGCAGAGCAGGTTACTAATAATTCGAAAACCCACATTGGTAGTTTAATAATTTATTGTCACCTGAAATTGTTTAACCTCTTTTTCTGTCCATATAAGCTTTGAGTCTTTGCCATTTAAAAGTTTTAGTGCCTTTTTAAAGTAGGTAGGGTTTGAAAGCATGGGCATGTTGTTGAGGTTAATGGATTTTACCTCTGGCGTAGCAGGAGAATTACGACTTGTGTCTTTTGATCAGAGATCATCACAATTTAGTTGTCATGTCAAGGACTGAGGCCTCTCCATAGTACATGGGTTGCATGCTTCGCCCAACACCTATTGCTACATCCCTCACTCAAAAGTCCGACTTTTGGTTTTGTTCCAGTTGAAATCCCAACTATGATTCTGGAAAATCCAGACAGTAAAGAATTACAAATGCCTAGTCTTGAAGTAACAAACTCAGACTAGTTTTTCAGCTTCACTTTTAAAGGCCCTGTTTTGTTTGTATATGCGTTATAAGGAAGTGTTTAAATTATTAAGCTTCCTTTGTGTTAGGATGGATTAAGTTACTTATTTACCCTGAAGTGGTTAAATATGTTTTAGCTTTAGTAATCAGAGACTAATCAGTTGGAGCCACTCCGGGTATCCAGCATTCTTAGGTTAAGTGATTATGCAACATTGCTTGAGATTGAGTAATATTTTGATATGTTTTACCTGCTAGGTAGAAGGCCCAAACTAAGGAGGGGAGGCAGGTTAAGTAAATCAAGAGCATAATCTTAAAGAATTTTAGAAATTATTAACCTTACAAACTTAAGGTTACAAAAGAAAATTAAGGATATGAAAAAAAAGACCTTAAACGACCAAGAAGTATTTTAAACACCATAATGACAATTCAAAGAATCTTCAAATCTGACTAAACCTTCCTTGTTTTGTACAGACATGTCAGTCCAAAGTCTTTGATTTATCTGATGGAGTCTCCCAGTACGCGTGGTTTCCATGTCAAGAAGCTTACAGGCTAACATCGGGATATTCTACGTACTGGCTAAAGGTAAGATGCATATCAAAAGTATAACTTTTTAAGTTTTATTTACAATGATTAACCAATATTTTGCTTTTTTAGAATAGATGCCACATATTGAAAAACTTTTGTGAAAATCAAGTTTTAAATCCCACTCAAATTGCCACAAAGAACAATGTTCTTAGCATTAGAAAAGCATGATCGTTTTCTTAGGTTCAGAACATGGATTGGGTAAGCTAGGGTTTCTAGCAATTCTGTCATAATTTTTAGCTTTCATAAATCCCATTTGAAAAGACCTTAAAACAAATTTTGTTTGTAAGACAGATAGAAAAGGAATAGGAAGCATTTCTTCCTTAAGGAGCTCATAGTCCTCTTTAAATCAAACATTTCTGTGGAAGTTGATGCTGGCATTTTTTTGACACATCACATGAAATACAGACTGATGGCTCACGTTGTTCTTTGATTTTGAAATGAGAGTAAGGGAAAGCACTCTGAACAGAGTTAAATAATAGGATTTGTGTATGTAGTAGTTCAATCTAGCAACATTTGATTGATGAGGTGCTCTTTTTACATGAAAAAAAAAAATTACAGTAAAAACCCACTCTGCGGCAGTCCTGTTGGACAAAAGGCGAATTCAGTTAAGTTAAACTGAACATGCTAAAAACCCACAGAAGATTAAATTGACAGTCACTCTGTTTCAAATCTGTGCCAGTCATATCAGCTTCTGACACTGTTTAGTATACATCTCATAGAGTACCGCATTACATTATGAGAATGAATTTCTAATAATTCCCTGATAAAAATGAGATCCCACTAACTGCATTAAATGCTATGTTTTTACTGCAGACCTAGTTAGTGGTAAACAGCTTGATCAAAAAAAGGTCCAAAACAGTTTCTCTTTTTAACTAAATATAATAATTCAACTTAATTTCAGCAGAAATTTCTCTATTAAGTTGTTTTACAAAGAATAACATAATAATATATTGTAATAATAATTTCAGTATTCATTTGAAAATTCAAAAATGTCAAAATGTTATGTTTTGGAGTTACTTCCTTTACGTTTTTATAATGGGGACACCACTATGATGTTTCCAAAATTGCATAGAGATTTTTTGGGAGTGTATTAAAGGGTCAAATAACAAGTTCCTGAGTTTTTGCAGAGTTTTGGCTTATTTGGCAAAAAAAAATGAAATAATATTAGTGTTTTGCATACACAAGAGCAATCACACCATATTCTGCTGCTGTCTTTCATTTAGAGGTACAATGCCATCTGGGATAAGAATGTTATGAATATTGATGTGACTTTGAACTTAGCATTTTACCTTATTTAGCAAAAAGAGGACCATTCTCAGGTTTAATCTGAGCTACCTTCATGTTGAAAATGTCCTCAAAATTTACTCTTATTCAATCGCTTTTATACTCAAACTTGGCTGTTTAATTCCTCTTACTCTTAATTACTCTTTTGTGGATTCTGTAATGGGGTTTAAGGTGTACTTGCTCCTATTTTTTTGTGTTATATCTTCACAAACCATCGTCCCTGTTTTCTCCAAATAGTGGAGACCTTACAGCGCGGCAGTGTGAACAAGAGCACATAGCAGTGCTTATGTGCCCAGAGAATTCAGCCCAAATCACTCTCACTCATAAACTTACTAATGAAGCTTGTAGAGGCAACTGCATTGTACACAGATACAAATTTTAGACGTCAGGCAATTGTAAGTGCATGTGCAAAAGAAAAAAACCTTTAAAACTTTTGCAATGCATGTTTAAGAATTCAGTGGACTCCAGCAATGTGGGATAGCACATATGCTTTGAGTGTTTGAGTATGCATAGAAATGATAAAGGATTGTTCTGATGACTTGTGACTGCAGTTGCAACATATTAAGGTCCTAGCTGGGATAAGATGAGCAAAAACGTAGCGGCCGTGTCTATGGTTAGATGGCGGGTGCCAACCTGGTGGGTTTGTTCATCAAATAATTTATAAAGCAATGGACATGCTGCTCTCATGCCAAGGAGAAACTGATAAAACCCACATTGGGCTGGCAGTGATCCAAGTATTTTATTTCAAATCTTTGAGCTCCTTAGCTGCTACTAACATTATTTTTGGTCAGAGCTCTTACTTAAACTTACTTTTTGCCTTGATTTTTATGAAGATGGTGTACAATCTATCGTTATTACTCTCAAATGCTGTTGCTCAAATGATGAAACAATTTGACTTTCCTCCAGAGGATACCTGAAACTGATGGCTGGTCAGGAAACCTCTCATATATTGTACAATCCATCTGAGAATAACAAGGTAAAAAAAAGAACCTAAGTGCAGAATTGATACCCTTGTTCAGGGTTGGCTGGATTTGACGGTTACTTAAAATATATCCCAATGCTAATTTTGCCCTAATTCTTAGATACAGATAACTAAAGTTTCCCATTTCAGTAAATGTGGTCATTGTAATGAGATAGTTTTCTAAATTTTTTGCTTATATTGACCACACCCTGTTGCTAGCATTGTAAAAAGATGAAAAAAGTGAAAGAAGAAATTAATTCAAATGTAAAAATTCAAACATACTGCTAAGTGAAAATATGAGGGAAAAAATAACCTAGACCTTTTCTTAACATTTTTTGTTCCCTTTCATATAGGCACATTTTTCCCATCCCATGGTGGCTGCAGCAGTAATTGTACATCTGGCTGCTGATGGGACAAAAGTCATTGACCAAACACAATGCAATATTACTGTTCAGCTGGTGGACACCAAGGATGGTCTCCACAGCCTAGGTAAGAAACTTATAGATACTTTTAAACTTCATTAAATTCTGATACTAAACTTTTACACTGAGAAGAATAACTTAAATTTTACAAAGAGAATAGGCTCCATAAACTTTTTTTTGTTGTTTAATTGTTGTACTTTTTTAGATTAAAAGACATCCTTATTTAGTAGCCACTGCTATTATTTTAATGTTTGTCACCTGTTGAGGTTAATTCACTCCCTCCAGCCACACACGTCTGTTCACCTTATTTTGTCTTCAGCTCTGTGGTCTTTGATAACATCTCCACAGGTGAATGGCGCCTGAGCTGCCGCACTAACCCTTTGGTGATCCCTGTGAGCCATGACCTGTCAGTGGCCTTTTACCACACCAAGGCTATCCTAGTCATGTTTTCCTGTCAACTGGTTGCCATCTCTGGCATTGGCCTGCGATCCTTCCAGTCTTTTGATCCCATCACAATCAGTGGTTGCCAGAGCAACGAGATCTACAACCCCACAGGACAGAGGTGAGAGAATCCAATACTAGCATTCTAGCAGAAAAGTATAATCTTAAAGATCATGAAGAGTACTGTAATGTTTTAGAAAATAAATTTTAGCAGTATAAACTGTATTTCTTTACTTGTACTTGAGTAATATTACTATGAGGTATCTCCACCTTTTTGGTGAAATTTCCTGAATACTCACTGAATCAAAAAACAAACATGATATAATTAAAATACAGCAGATAAAGACACAGAACTGTAATGAATGTTTAAATGAGAATTTCTTGTTCTGATGTTAGTTTTTATCCACTGACATTTACAGGTCCAAACAATACTATACAAACACTATATATTGTAACTCAGGGCCTTTTTCCTGTTTGACTTGCATTAAGTTTTTACTTTATGATGTTGTTTGTTTGTGTTCATCTTTTTTCATTTTAGTTTTTTTAAATGCCAAATTTGAACATAACTTTATACTTTTCTCTTTCTGATGACACTATATTGAAAAATCAGATGTTCTTATCAGTCACTCAGTAGCCGAATTCAGTACATTGTACAAAATAGCGTTTTTAATCTTGTATGTTTTATTTGATGGATATTTCTTTAGTTTATTTTAGCAGAATATGGCTACAAGACCATTAGTTTATTCCATCCATTATCATTTATTGAGTCATTGTTTAACACTCACTCTCATTGCTTTAGAGGTTCATCCATTAAAGAGTCAAGTTGTGCAAGCATAAAATTAGTAATAAAATCAAAAAGATCATAAGATATTAAGGATTGTATGAGGTAAAACTGATCCTTTGGCATAACCAAAGGGGAATACTGATCATACTTTAAATAAGTCTGAGAAAAACAAACAAACAAAAAGTGAATTTGTAGTACAGCTCTGCAAACTATTATAATGAAATGCTACTGTAAATAAACAGTATTTTACTGAGATAATTTAAGATGATGCAACTTCCAAAAAAACTATTTCTCAGTTAATTTCTCTCTGTTTCAAATATTTCATTGAGTGAAAAGAAAATGATGCGTTGAAAAGTGTGACATGTAACCCTTTATAGGGCAAGTTACTGTTTTTTATCCCTTGCATACCCCTTAAAAATGGTGTCACCCCGTCCCCCAGTGAGGTCTAGAAACACAAGATCTATATCCAGCAATTCAGCAAAGATACTACTACATGGCTGTACATCTTATTTTGGCATTTGACCAATTAGATGACCCTTGAATTATATATCACCCACTGTAAATTAAGTTGGAAAAAATAGTTAAAAAATCAAGAAAAAAATGATAAAAAGCTAATTGAAAAGTTAAAGTAAAAAAATGAATAAGCCTAATTAACAATTATATTTAGGTTTATAAACTAAAAACGTAAATGCCAGTATCGGCATTCATGCCTCTAAGGTTATGTTGTACCAAAAAAAAAGAACTCTCAGAATGTTTTTCATGAATTTCTTATAGAGGCAGTTTTGTTATTTTTCTTAATATATTCGGGCAAGTTTGCATTTCTTATAATTAAATTGACATTAATCTTTGCCGTCAAAATATCCATATTTTTTGAATTTCACAAAGGTTTAAGGTCTTTTCCTGGATTCCAATAACTCTATTGGCTTGAAATTTTGATTTTCAAAGTATTTCACTGAGTGCCCTATAAAGGCTTAAATGTAAATAGTCCCCTTGAGTCGAGAGTTGTAGAGCTTAGTAGATTGTGAACCTGAAAATAATTGTTGGACACAATGAACAGTCATAAACATTGTTATGTGCCATCTGTTGCAGTACCACTAAAATATCAATGGTGTCTGTTTGTGAAATATAGTGTGTAGAGTTGGATTTTCCAAACAGTCATATATAGCCAAGAAAAACATTACATTAAAGTATTTGACAAACTCTAAACTAGAGCTTCACTTTCAACAACTTATTTTTCTTGGCACTCTCCCATTAACAGCCTACAAAAAAAGGTGCAGTAGGTAATATATTTTGTATTTTATCTAAAACTGTCAATGTGTCCTGACAGTAACATGTAAGATAATATGTGAAAATCAAGAAACTCTGCCTCCTTTCAGTGGTCTTATCACCTTTTGTAGAATACACCGCTCCTCGTTAGAAACAACCAATCAGAGCCGGACGGAATATCTAAACAGTATCAACCATGGTCATTTTCGTGCTACCCACACCCCTCCACTACAAGCCTCTACTGTAGTTCAAGCTCAAGATGGTGGTGTACTATAGATGTGTATTATAGATGTAGACAGCCTATAATTCTTGTTTTTTTCTCTACCAGTGAATACATCGTAGCTATTTATCTGCCATCTGAAGCCATGCTCATTATCCTGTGCATGGACAGCAGATTTGCTGTGGGGGAGGAGCTGAGAAATGAGGGCTGTAGCAAAGCAGAGAGCAAAGGGGAGGGAACTGTAGGTTGTGCTTCTTCACATTTTTAGGCTAAGTCTACATTTTTTTTTTAAATTTCCCACTGCAGGTTTAATAGATCTGAGCTGGGGATCCTTGTAACACCTCTAGCATTATCATTGGCCTCTCTGCTGCTTCTCTGATTAATACTCTAATTTGTCTGCTGTGTATTGATAGGTCTTCAGTTTTGCCAAACTGATGTAAATGTTATGGTTTTAAAAATGCTTCATAACATTTTTAAAGGTTGGCATAAAGCTCATGAGAAGGAAACTACATGCTGCTGGTTTGTTGATGTTCTCTGCCATCAGAGGCATTGACAGAACAACTTTGGATATCTTGAGATTATATTACTAATAAAAAAAAAAATGTTTCCACTGCACAGTTGTGTTACTTTATGCTAATAAAAAAAATAATATTCCAGTTTTGCAACAAAGACAAATATATAAGATGAGGCAAATTATTTTACAAAGTACAGTACATAGAGGACGAACTACATTCTGATAATTTTATGTCAATTTCTTCCCTTTTCATCTATATTCCAGAGATGTTTTAAAAATCCCTGCATTTTAAATAAGCCTGAGCTTATTTTTAAGGTACAGCTTAAAAGTAATTTTTAATCATTTATTTCTCTCTTGCTATACTGACTAGGTAATCACAATCCATTATATCTCCACCATCAACCATTAAATTAACCAGTCTGTTTCACTGCCTATGTATCTCTTGTACTTTTCCACATGTCCCCCTTCTCCCCTCCCTCAGCTCAGCTGTTGTTCCCTGCCACCCTCTCATCCTGTTCTTTTACGTCATCTTCCTTTACCCTTTAACTACTGTCTTCACCTCCCCCTTTTTGTGCCTCTTACTTTCCCTTTTCCTTGTTTCAATGAGAGCATTTTTCTGGAGTATTGTAATGTTGATCAGGCATTATTAAATTTACAGAAGACTGATAAATCTATACAGATTTAGAAATTGACATTAAAGCAAGATAAATTATGGTCACTTGATAATTGATAAAAATTGAAAATGAAAATAAACTAATCATCTGTAAAAGACTTATAGTATTGTCAATGAAGATGCAGTTGCAAAATAGTTAATACGGTACATTTACATATATTCTTATGTAAATGAGCTTCAGTGAAATTTTACAAAAAAATATTATTGTGTATTCAGGGTACCTATTTGAAAAAAGATATTTACATACTTTCTTTAAAATTAATGAACACTTTTTCTTACTGTCTGACACCAAATGGGACTAACCTTGACTGTTAAAGATGAAGCAGATTTTGTCACAAATCTCCTGCTTTTCACTTCTTCTACCTACTATCTATACTTTAACCAAAAAAACATCCATGTCTCTTGCTGTTTATATTGTACTCTCATTTTCGGAGGAGGTTATTTTTCCAGGTAGTTAATTGTAATTTATGCCATAAATTCCTGAGTGACTTGCAGGAAACCGCAAAGAGATTTTATTCAATGTCAAGCTGCCTACAGAGGAGGCTTTAAGGATCCCCTGATTTGTATGTTAATGCTCTACCTGAAAGTTGTTTTTTTTGTTATACACAGTTTTTACAAACTAACCTTTTAGGTAGATGGCATGGAAAAAAGAGCAACGGAGAAGTAGAAGACAAAGGCAACTGTGCTGTGAATGCAGTGTTTTTAAACAGTTATCTTGAAGACAAAGAAGGAGCATGAACGTTTATTTCTTTGTTAGAATAATCAGAAAAATGGGTGAAAAAATATCTGTTCTTGAAACATTTTCTTTTACTTACAGTTTTTCTGCTTATATTGTTTTACATTTCTTGTTTCTTTTCTTATTGTTTCTCTTCCTCTTTCCTTGTTTTCTCTTTCCATCTGTCTCCCTTTGCCTTTACCAAATAAACATATACTTTAGAATGTGGATTATTGAAAAAAGGTGCATTGGTCGTTTAAGTATTTCATCATTGAGCTAATTTAGCTTTTTTGGCATATTTCTGTCAGTTTGCTACACAAGACGTATTCTGTTGTTTTTAATAAACAATTTGTGCTCAGACACCCCTCCTTGTTCACATGTAGCAATCTGCTCTCCATGTGGTTAATTGATTAGATATGTTAACCAGTCATTGATTGATGAGTGCTGTTCACTTAGTGGATCATTTATATGATTTGTTAGAAGATGCATGACTGCTTCCATGTTTAGATCTGGAGTGTTTATTCTTTCAGAAAATACATTTTGTTGCATCCTAACACCTTCTTACTCTGTTCTGTTACTTTTGCTTTTTTTTTTTTACCAACCCTCTACCACCCACTTCCACACACAGTTGTGTACATTATTCGTGCGAAGCCATTGACTGCCAGGAACCTTTAATCCGCAATGCAGAGCTAAAGTGCAGTAGCCCCGGCCGCCAGTTCTACAACGGAGACCTCTGCACCATTTCCTGCAACTCGGGGTATGTCTTGCAAGTCCACCAGGAAGATGACATCATCAAGACCCAGGTGAGCACTCTGCTACATACAGTACATGCACTTAAAAACAGTTCAATTAGTAAATGTACAAGGATGCACAACAATGTAAAACCTCTTAACATGCTTACTTTTGGTGCAAATGCATTTTTATCTGAGCAGATAGAGCATGAATGTAAACAAACATTTATCAATGCCAACACATGCATGCATTGAGACTAAGTCATTCACTCAAATGTGCACACAAATACCCACTGAGCAAAGATGCAAACACTCCTCTACTCTTGTCTACTCTAAAAAAAAAACCTGCATTTGTTTTACCTGTAAAATCTAGGCTTGGCAGGGCTGGCCTCTGGGGAGGATGACATCATAAATATCTATGTAGATCAGTGCACCAGTCTCCTCCACTCCCAAGCCGCCCACATATTCACAAACGAACAAATGTACACACCCACTTATTTTTTTCAAGCAAAGACATAAAAGTATATGGTCTTTCGCTAAGCACACTGCACCATCACCTCAAACAGTCACTTTGTATTGCTACTCTGTTGGGACAATGACATCATAGTGTCTGCTCCCTCTCTCTTGCAGGATTCTGCTAAAGGGCAGACTCTACTACAAAATATGATTCATTATATGCCTCCACATAGAAAGGACAGCTGCAATTTTCACAGGCAATAAAAATCAATCTTTAGCACAAACAGAATATAGATCCAAAAAGACACAGAACACACAAACACATAATAATGATAAAATGAGCTTTTGATTTTAGGGTTTGATCAATAGGACTTCTGAAATTTATTAGATACAAATAACTTAATAGTTTAAACATAAACACAAAATGCTCTAATTAGTTAATATATTTAAAAATGTAAATTGAAGAAAGTATTTTTAAATGTTAGTGGTGCAAAAACGAATGACATATTTCTGCCACCACAAGATTTTAAAGGAAAGTAGTAGTCAGGTACTGTTGAACTATTTAGTTGTAACGCACTATTATTGCACCTGTTATCAATTTTGCATCCAGTCTTAGTAGACCACCTGTAATATGTCCACTAATTGCAATTTTTTGTTTTGTTTTTCAAGCTATTTAGCTTTCCTTATTTGGGAGGTCAGGCCATAACAGTCCAATAATTAGCAATATAGCATTCGCTATAGCTCTGCTTCCTCTTCGGTTCTCTCCTTTCCCCACCCTTGCTTGACATTTTCTGCACTTTTTCGTGTCTTTGAAAAACATGTTACCATCAAATGAGCTGAAATGAACCAAGGTATAAAAAGTTACAAGATAAAGAGCTTAAAATATTTTTTGTTCTACATTAAATGAATTTACATTATGTATAACATAACCTTTGCTCTCCTTACTGAGTGAAAACATGAAACTTTTTCATGTATGATTTTCTGAGCTATACTATCAAACTCAATGTGAGCGTAAAAAGTATTTTTTTCTCAAACCACAGTAAAAAAAACTTTTTTTGTGTGTTGTTATTATTTGTCTTAGTACTTACAGTATAAGTGACATTTGTTGCACAAAGATTAAGTCAATTTAAAATATTTTGGTGTTGATAATTAAGTATACATTTTTCTCAGCAATAAATAAAAGTAATTATTTGCTGTTAACAGTTATTATTTGGAGATTTTGTTTCCTTTTTCCATTATTGTTTCAAAGGATTTTGCTGCCCAACTCTGGATTATTGTCCTGTTTCAATAACTAGTTAGGCCACAACTTATTGGTTTTCAGATTAGTTCATTTTCATACTGGCCATTAATGACTCTAATGTCCACCACCATACTCAACTGCTGGCATTAGAAAATATATACTTTTCACTAAACAGGCAATGGATTTTGGGCAAATATTGGACTTGCTTTGTCATTGGGACATTAATTTAGAAATATTGTGCGTAATTTAGATGTAACAGAGTAAACAGATGTTCTTTCCTCTTTGTTCTCTTAAAAAAAATCATATTTATTTAATGATTTTTTAATGTGCAGTTGTGAAATTTAAGACTACATGTTTTCAATGAAGCTAAAACTGTTTCATCGTTTGCAGTTTTCCTAAGGATGGTTGATCTTTAGTTAGATTTACTGGGACACATATTCCCTACATACCGTATCCAATGTCTTTACTTATATACTTTATGAATCCTTGTAACACTGCAAAATACTGCACATTGCATAAAAAAAAAAAAAAAAAGCTTAGAATTCTTCCCGACTGATGGTGAGATTTTGTTAATTCAGTAAAAATGTTGCTGACATATTCCATGTTAGTATTAGCAGCAAGCAGTCAAAAAAAACAGATTTCATGGAGGGGGTTTCACACTCTGAATATCAGTTATTCATTGTAAATTGATTAAGAATTTTACATATGCTAGAGAATTTTGGAGATCAGAGTGGATTTAATCTGTGTGTTTTGAGGACAACTACAATTTACAATGCATTATTCACAGACCATAGGTATAAGCTTTAAATTCAGAAGACCTCGGATGTTTCTTTTATCAACACTAGATTACCTTTAGATACAAGATTTCTCATCAAGCTCCAGGCCCCTCACCCCCTTTTACAACTCATTATTTCTTTTTTGTCATGTAAATGCAGCATTAGCCCTTTCCTAGGAGAATCTTTCCACCTTCAGAGAAGGCTAAAATCAAACTAAATTGTATGTCAAGCTTCTGTGCTGATGAGTTTTTTACCTGAAAACATGAAAAAAAGAGTTACTCTGTTTCATTTATTCAGTGAAGTGAAAGTTGATTCCTTTTTTTTTGTTTCTCAAAACAACAACAACAAAACAGTTCAGCAAATGCCAAATGATAAATCAGGGGAAATAACTTCTATTTTCTCTAGGCAATATGCTGTATGAATTTAGTATCAAGAAAGACAGGTGAAAATAGCTGCAGCAGATCGTGAGTTTCAGCACCACAGCTGTGTGAACAGCGGCAATACAGGGAGAACCTATTCATTTCATAACGTAATATAAGAACACATTTTACCACTGATTAACGCAGAAGAGAGTCAATACATTTGGATATCCTCCTCCCAGTATTTTGCACATCCTGATGATCAGCATGTTTTGCATATGTATAAAGGAAAACATACTTAATAGGTCGTGCCTGCTGTTCTACACATTGTAGGAATGCGGCAATAAATGAGGATGCGGGGGGGCAATATCAATGTCTTTCATTGGACCCAAATTTCCTGATCCTGCCCCTGCCAGTATATAAGTGATTATTGACACTTCAACTGTATTTAGACTTATAATGAATCAGTTTGTGTTCCAGTGGGCTTATAATCAGAGGGATGATAAAAGAAATCAATAAACACTAGATATACTGTACTGTGTATTCCAACTTTCTATATGTTTTGCTTTCATGGCATTAAGCTCTTCTTTTAAATTTTGTAAGATGTCTTTAAATAACCTTGTTGACATTTAATGTTCGTCTTTCTGTTGTTTGTATGACATAATGTAGTTTATTTGGATTCATTTGAATTCTTAAAAGAACAAAAAAAAGTGACAAAAGGGATTGCTTTAGTATTTACTCTAAATAAAACTGAGTGTAAAGATGTTTCTTCCAGAAGCCCTCAAGTCAATTGCTGTTTAGCAAAAAGGCCTTTTTGTGAAAGCCTTAAAGTAATTTTTACATTCCAGAGCAAAAAGCATAATGAAGATGAGGATCTCACCAGAGAGGTCAGCGATAAAGTTTAAAACAAAATGAGATCAGGAGAAAACAAACTTTGAAAATGACATCTTGCACCATTCGACAAATCTATCAAGGGAATTTGTCTCAACTGCAAAAACCTACCTTGATATTAGTTTCCTCCTAAACTGATAGGCAGGAAATGGAAAGCATCAAACATACAATCTAGTAAGATAGCTGCTTCAACTGCAGAAATTCCCACTCAAGTGGAAGATTTGATAAATAGATTTGAGTCCACGAAGTTGATCTTATTAGAAGAATGACAAGAGAAAAGCTGTTCTCAAAAGTAAAATATACAAAAATCCTGTTTGCGGCCTGGCATCTGAATGAAAGGGGGAAAAGCAGAGGTGACAGAATTTGGTTGGTTATACCAGAACTAATTTGGCCCTTTAGGCCTATATTTAAAAGAAATTGTGTCTTTTATTTTTACATAGATGTAGACATTACAGAACTTATTGGAAGTATTTAAAAATACAAATTTAAGATTATTTTCATTCCCTTGGGTGGCATATAATCTTAAGTTAGTCATTAGTCTGGACAAAACCACAAACATCCCCTCTAAAATGAAAATGAGCACTGTGAAGAACAGTCCTGTTTCCTTTCATTAGCCCATTACATTCTTTTCTCACTGATGACAAAATGGTTCTGGGAAACCCACCTTGTTAGTTTCTATCTTAAGCACAAATCTCTTTTCCTCACATGCTTGAATTGTTTGTGTGTTTTACGGCTGTCCATTTTTTCCTACCTCCCTTTCACTTTGAAGCTGCAAAGGAACACAAAAAGCTGGTGCTGATCAAGTCACATCATACTGAAGTTTTCTTTGAACATTTTATTTGAGATATTTTATCTTATTTTGTTTTTCCACTGGAATGCCTCTGCAGCATAAAGGTATGAATCATATTTAGAGGAAGAGTTAACTGTTGTCTTCAGTGAGGAACTCTGATTTAGAACTATGAGGCAGGAAACAACACACTAAACTGCTTAATTGCTGATCTACATCAATATCCATTGAATGTTGAACCTATAACAGAGAAGTTGGATGTTTCCCTTATCAAAGTCAAGTTTGAAGTCTTCAAAGGCCATGACAGATCTAAAATATTTCACCTCAATTCAGATAAAGTCTGTTGTCGCCTGGTTTCTGTTACAAAAATGTGAGAAGTATATTGATATTCTGCTAATTCCAAAAATGCATAGTTCTGCAATTACGGTATTTCCGTTACAATTAAAATTCGATGTGAATATGTTCATGCAATAAATCTGAGAACAGCATGGCAGAGGCAATGTAAAAACAAAAGATATTTCCATATTTCAGCCACAACTCTAAAGTACACCAACATTCTCCAG